GCGCTGGAGCGGCCACTCCTGCCACTAGCTGCTGCACAGTAGCCGTTAGCTGCTGTAGCTGCGCAGATAAATAGGTTAGCGTCTGGTCATGTGAAGAGCTAGCATGATGAGCCTCGGTGGCCAGGGCGGCTATCGAGGCTTCCTGCCTCTGGAGAGCGTCCTCAACTCTCTCGAAACGGTCTCTAGGTGAAGAGGAGTGCGCTGGGTCCATGTTCTGGCCAGATTGTTCTGTCACAACCTTAAGGAAAACCCAAATGCAGCAGGAGGACAGCGGGCAGAAGGTGAGTCAGGGACAGGCAGAGAGTCAGGGAGTAAGCGAGGCGGACAGCGTAGATACAGGCAGGGTCGGATAACAGGCCAGACAGGATAGTCGAGGGACAGGCAGGAACCGGGTAGGCAAATTATCAAACGCGGGAAAGACAAGCATGAGGCAAAGTACAATCTGGCAAAGAGTGTGTGTAAGGTGCGGGTTTAAATACTGGCAGAAGCTAATGGGTGCAGAAGAGAAAGAGAGTGAGCTAACGAGTGGGTGTGGAAAACAGGTGAGACAGGTGAATGGAAAACTACTGGTGAATGATGGAGCAGACTATGACAATACATTTACAATTATAAATAGATTATATCATTATTACTACAATATATATTAATTTACGTTGTATGTCAAATTTGATAAGACAAATATAAAAGACTATCTTTTTACATCTGACATACAAAATACATTTGTTATTAAAAAAACTAAAATATAATAACAACAAATTGTTGTTAATAATAATAATTGGAACAGTCCTTCGGCGGGACTCGATGACGTAGTATGCTTGAAATAGTGGCTCTGGAGCAGCTTTACTCGACATTGAGAAATGGCCTCGCTGTGTATGAGACTCAATACTCGCTGGTTGTACTTTTGTGGGCATCCAATTCGCTAGATGGCGATGTTGCAAAACAACTAGGGTCCTAGAAGTGCGGTCCCAGGAGTGCGGTCCCAGGAGTGCGGTCCCAGGAGTGCGGTCCCAGGACTGCGGTCCTGAAACTGCAGTCTCCGACGCTGCAGCTTCATACTATTGGTCCGAGTGGCGGAGACGGACTGGCTTAAGGCTGTGTCGACTGGGAAGTGGAACTGCCGGTGCGGAGGAGCGGAGATCTGGGACGCCGAGGGCCGTGGCTGTGGCTGTGGGCGAGGGGAGCGTCGGGGACCGGGACCGGCACAGCGTCGAGGATACACCGATGGCCATGGAGAAAGTGTCCTCTGACCCGCATGGCATTTCTAACTTGACCGGCTTGTGCTGTCAAGCAAACCCGGAAGTTGGATGTTGCGTTCAGGTGCAAACTCAGCGCGTCAGTCCGTTCGACAAACAACAACATGCTTACAAAAGCAACAGGATCATAAATCCTGTTTTCAAAAAACACAGCAAGTTCAATTAATTCAAAACTGTTAATCACTCTTTAGTGATCTGGGATCAACAACACAAACCGAAGGGCATCTTTGGAGGACATTTGAACATCCGTAGCCTCACACCTAAAGCTGATCAAGTCTATCATCTTCTTCAGGATTCCAATTTAGATTTAGATCAGAAACATGTCTTCATACCAACTCTCCATCCGCTGCATTGCATGTGCCAGGCTATCAAAGCTTTAGACAAGATCGATCTTACGGAAGAGGGGGTGGGGTTATGATTTATGTCAAAGACCATCTCAACTGTCATCAAATATGCTGGCCTTTTAACCATGACTTGGAATGTCTTGGATTAAAAATAATGCTGTCCCCTGAAATGTCATTTGAGCTCATTGTTGTTTCACCCTCTTCAAATAATGACTTCACCACGTTCAAAAAACTTCTTAAAGCATGTGATTTCAAAACAGAAGTAATATTGCTTGGTGACCTGAAGGACCAACCAGAATAACCTCATCCTCACAGACACAAATAGACTTAATATTAAGTAATAAACCTGAGAGTGGATAAAACATTTAATTTCATCACTGGACTATCTGACCACAACTTAATATTGATATCCAGAAAACTCACAAAGAAACGGTTCCACCACTCTTACAAACCTCTGGAACAACTAAGAATACCGAAAAATGAATTTGCAAACTTTGAGCAAGCTGTGCAACAGACTGACTGGGAAAGTATGCTAACTGGGAGCAGTGTAGAAACAGACAGCCAAATGTTTGCGACCAAGCTACATGATTTAGTGGAGATGTTCTCCAGAAAAATGAAAAGTGGAAAAAACAAAAGCAATGCACTTCCTTGGTTCAATACGGACATATTGAACTCGATGAAGGAAAGAGACTTTGCACTGAAAAGAGCACTGAAAACTAAATTAACTACTGACAGGCATAGGTTTACTTCATTACGTGACAAAGTAACTCAAACAATCAGAAAGGCCAAAGCCAACTTCTTCATAACAATAATTAATGAGGCAAAAGGTAACACTAAAATAATTTGGGAACAGATTAAAACCTTACTGGGAATCAAGCACAGGCCAAAAAAGCAGCTAGAACTAAAAGAGAATGGTAAGTAACCTAGTGCAAGACCCAGAACAACTTGCCATAGCTTGCTTTTAATAAATATGTTATCAACTCTGTAGATGAGATTGCACAGAACTTTCCCTTGAGAGCAGAACATATTATCAAAGTCGACGAAAGTAAGATGTCCTTTTGCATTCAACCCATATCGGAATTAAAAACCAAAGCAATTATTAATTCTCTTAAAACTTCGACAGCTAAGGACACATACACTATGAATTCTACAATGCTTAAATCACTGCAAGATTACCTATAGTCTGCCCTCTTACCCAAATCATCAATTCATCTGTATTACATGGGACATTCCCAAGTGCATGGAAGACTGCAATTGTAACCCCCATTTTCAAGTCAGGTGACCCTCTGAACATTAACAACTACCGCCAAATTAGCATCTACCTATCCAAGGTGGCTGAGAAGTGGGTGTCAGAACAGCTTGTCTCCTTCTTAAACAACAGTCCATTTCAACTTCATCCCATGCAGTTTGGCTTCAGGGCAAATTATTCAACCGAAACAGCCAACTGCTTTTTTATAGAAAAGGTCAAAGCAATGGTTGCAAAGGAGGTGTTGTTGGTGCAGTATTCCTGGATCTACGCAAAGCCTTTGATACAGTCAACCATAAGGTCCTTCTGTCCAAACTGTCGGCTTTTAACTGCTCTCCATTAACACTCAGTTGGATTCAATCATGCCTCACTGGTAGGTGTCAGCATGTTACCTTCAATAATCGACTCTCTCCAGCTCTAGACTTAAGAACCGGAGTACCACAAGGTTCAATACTTGGTCCACTTCTTTTTACGCTATATATGAATGACCTGCCATCTGTAAATCTGATAAACTGACCTCAGCTTTAGTGCTGATCACTAGCTGGCTACACCGCTCCTGTCTTCAGCTTAATGTAAACAAAACAGTAGGAATGTTTTTCACATAAAGAAAATGCAACATTGTGTCAAATATAAGCATCTCAGGTGAACATATTGATATTGTGCCTCAGGTTAAGTACCTTTGAATCATTATTGACTCTAATTCAACATTCAAAACACAAGTCAAAAAAGTGACCCAAAGAGTAAAGTTTAGCCTAGCAAATTTTAAATACATATGATATGAAACACAATGACATTGAATTCTGCCAAATTATACATGAATGCCATGATCATGTCACATCTAACACTGTCTCACACGCTGGTGGCAAACTAACAGCTCCACACTGAAGCCACTAGCAACCCTGTACAAACAAACCCTCAAAGTACTGGACCAGAAACCTAACAGCTCCCATCACTGTACCATCCTCAACAAGCATAACATCCTGAGTTGGGAAGATTTAATAAAGTATAGGAACATCGTTCTGGTGTACAAAATTCTGCACAATACAGCCCCTCCACCTCTTAACTCATTGGTTACTCAACGTAACAACACCAGACTGACCACACGTGGTGACCTATCAGTCCCATTCAGGAAGAGTACTTTTGGTCAGTCATCATTCTCGGTCACAGCAATACAAAACTGGAACTCTCTACCCACTCAAATCAAAGACATACATACACATACCACCTTCACAGCTCACTTAAAAGCATGGTTCACTGAGAACTACACCTGCACACACTAGTCTGTGTTGAGTATGCCGTGAGTGTTACATGTTGTGATTATGGATGTTCCCCCTCGTTTCTGTTATGTGATTGTGATGTGCTATATATGTACTGTATGTAGTAACGTGTGTTGTTTATTGTTCTCTTTTATCCTCTCTTATCCTTTCGCCCGTATCTACTTGTCTTTCATCCTTTTTATTTAATTTTATATTTTTTTTATAACTAATGCTGTTGATATATTGTGATTTTAAGGGTGTCTATTACCATCTGGCCAGGGACAACAGCTGGAAATTAGCCATGTCGGCTAAAGCTGCTCCATTTACTGTTTTTGTGACAGTTCATCAATGGAGACTGTCCACAACACTATACATAAATCAACTAAACTAAATTATAGAGGAGACAGTCAAAGATTATTTTCAGATAGTGTTGCAATCAGAGGGTTTTATCTTATCTCTCTTCTTTTAAATAGTTTACTTATTTTTGCAATTGTTTGCACAATTCTGTCCCTGTACTAGTTATTTTCATTTTATGACTTGTGAATTGAATTTGAACATGAATTCTACCTACTTTCAAACACTGATAATAAGAAAAATGACTTTTCAGCCAAATGTTTTTTTTTCAGTTACAGACACAGCATATTCCTTACCACTCTTCCAATGACAGACAATATATGAGCATTTATGGTTGAGAACAACTAGATTAAAAATTAAAGGATGTAATCAAGGAGTTCATAAAGGAGCTATTATAGTGTAGTATTCTCATCAGTCAAACAGTGTCGCCACAGTTGTTGAAAGGTTGAGGGAAGGTTGTGGAGTGTGTTGCGCAAAACACGAGTCGAACATGAACCCAAACCAAAACAACTCTGCCCTCTACCGTTAAAACTAGGAGGGGATCTGCAGAGATGTGTGTAGAGAACTGGCTTAAACCAGATCTCTTTAACCCTACTTACACCCACCCGTGCCGGTCTCACACAGGGAGTGTGTTCACTTCATGAGAGTGTATCACAGCGTGTTGTTGCGCGTGCGGACAAAAGCATGTGAAATATGAGTAAGAAAGTTCAGTTGGTCATTTAATTGGGACACGTCGCGGATTACAAAAGAAGGAAGAGACTAGCAACACACAGGTGAGACCGGCTAAAACACAAATTATTTCATTATATGTTTGATTGAGTGAAATTAACTGTATATTTAATTAATTATAAGCCTCAAACCGGCGAGATTTCAGTACTTACACGGTATGTTTGCGGCTTTTAAAGTCACGTTGTCCTCGGAGCACATGAGCCGACTCAGGGCGTTGCGTCAGACGCAAGAAGGGAACACATGCCGGGGACATAAAGTCAATACTACCCCCCCCCTCCACCCTTCATTAAAAACGTCAAGATAATACATCATGTTTAGAAAATAATTAGTTTAACAGTCAAATCAACGGTGGTTTGTGTGTTTTTAAATAATTTGTACAATAATATATTTTTGAAATTCAACAAAGTGAATTTTTGTTTAGCGTTATGAAATATGTAGAACCATTTTTTTAAATTATTACTACTCGGATAAGATTTAAAAGTATATTTGATTGTAGGCTATATAATAAGATTTGTGGAAGAACTTTTGAAATTATTTTTGTTTTGGATACACAGATAAAAAGTAACGCTTCAATTAATTGACTTTTATAAATAATTCGCAGTATTAGTCCAAACTATGTAAACAACTATCTTATCTAAGAATGCCATTGCCATTTCTACCCTGTAGCTTTGTGCATATGACAATAACACCTTTGAATCTTGAATCTTTGTTGATGACCAGTCTTTGATTGTACTCCAGCACCTTGAAAAAGTAAATACACCCACTGAATTAAAGTTTTTTTTGTATTAGCCTATGTCAAAGCGGTATGAGTATACAGTGAAGAAACATCAGTTGTACAAAAGTAAGAAGTAAAAGTAAAATCAGAAAAGGAGAGAGTTTGAGTCATCCAGCTTATTTGATACAGTGTAAAGAAAAAAAAGAAAGAAATGGAGATAAAATGCAAACAAGGTTATGCTATATTTTACTACCATAGGGCACACAATATTATCATGTTTTACCCAGGGTCAAAAGGTACTTTTTTAAATAGGTCTAAAACTGTATTATTGATAACAACCGAAGTGCTTTTGCATTAATCATTGATCAGGCCCAGCCTTGTGAAAAAAATATGATGCACCACAGCCCTGCCCGTGTTTGTATTGTAGTCTGGTTCAGATGCATAGAACCACTTTGTGTAAAAGGTAAGCTGCCATAGTTCATAGATCAGAATTAGCATCGTATTTACTGCCATTCATCAGCTCATTTCTGTAACTGGAGACTATGAGCAGTGTCATATTCGATGTGAAGAGGAACACAGACTGCAGTGGTATTGAATACATATATTTGGGATAAACATAATCTTTTTCATTACGTTACATTTAGCTGATGCTTTTATCCAAAGCAAGTTACAATTTGAGCAATCAAACATGACGATACTGTCAGGGTCTGGACTGGAGGTTGGACCCAAACGCACTGTAAGAGGGAGTGAGGAATTGATAACCAAAAATCTAGCTATTAAAAAAAGCTGAAAACACAAAAACAAGGGGACGAAACAGGAATACTGGGAATTAGACAGAGACGAAATACACCAAACATCAGGCCTGGACAGGAACAAAGATGACAATCTGACAAAGAACACAAGAACATACAAGATCACAAAGACAAGACATAGCTGGGGAGGGAAGACAAAGGCTTGAGGTAATCAAACAGGAGGGAAAACACAGGGATAGAATGATAAAAATAGAATTATTGCCAGTCTTCCATTTCTCTTCCCAGGGCATGGCACTTTGTGGAGTCAAGAGGGGGCGATTCCTGGGGCCCAATGTGTACCCCGAAGCCCCAGATGGAGGCTGGGGGTGGATGGTGGCCATCGCCTTCTTCGTGGTGGAGGCTTTCACCTACGGCACCATCAAGATCTTCGGCATTTTCCTCCAGGACATCATGGAGGAGTTCGGCGAGACCAACAGTCGAGTCTCCTGGATTGTTTCCATCTGCATTTTTGTCATGACCTTCAATGGTGAGCCCAGCTGATGAAGTTATAGGAAGTAAAACACAGCCTATGCATTGAAATAAGTTGTGAGAATGACTGTGTTATAGTCCCTCAGTTAACAACGTATGTTCTCCTCAGGTCCTCTTTCCTCCGTGTTGACGAGCCGCTGTGGGTTCCAGCCTGTTGTTATGATCGGAGGTTTACTTATCGCCACCGGTACCATCGCAACCAGCTTTACCAGTTCAATCAATCAAATATACATCACATATGGATTGGTAGCAGGTAATGACATGCTTTCTTCTCTATATCATCACATCATTATTTGAGTCTTTGAATAGGTTTTGTAGAATTGTGTCTGTATCAATAACCATTTAATAAACTTATATTATTTCCACTTTCCAGGACTGGGCTACAGTCTGACCTACCTCCCCACAGTGACCATCCTCTCACAGTATTTTACACGGCGGCGGTCTCTGGTCACAGCTGTAGCTTCCACCGGAGAGTCGCTGTCTATGTTCGCCCTCGCACCAGGTCAGCTTGTACAACTCATTTAGGGACAGTAAACTCAAGGAAGACTAAGAAATGTCTTCAGTATTTACCAAGAAAAGTAAAAACCTTACAACAAGTATTAGTAGAGTTGTTGTAAGAAAATCTATTAGAAACACATCAGTAGCCACGCTTGCACTGACATGTTTCTCCTCAACATGCCCCGAGCTCTGCAGCTTATTTCAAACTATATTCAAACTATGGCTACAAATATTCCCTAAAATCAATTATGCCAAAGGGCTCAGCTGTTATAGGCAATTGTTACTGTCACAAGCTTAAGGAGAACCCAAATGCAGCACTCGAGAAACCAAGGGGAATTGGTAATAAACTTTATTGGAGATTCCACTGGATCTGAGGAATACCAACCGAGCAGTTTAACGCACCGGAGGACAGCGGGCAGAAGGTGAGTCAGGGACAGGCAGAGAGTCAGGGAGTAAGCGAGGCGGTCAGCGTAGATACAGGCAGGATCAGGGAACAGGCAGAGCAGGCAGATCGGGGACAGGCAGGGTCGGAACCGGGTAGGCAATCTAGTTTCAAACGCGGGAAAGACAAGCATGAGGCAAAGTACAATCTGGCAAAGAGTGTGTGTAAGGTGCGGGTTTAAATACTGGCAGAAGCTAATGGGTGCAGAAGAAGAGAAAGAGAGTGAGCTAACGAGTGGGTGTGGAAAACAGGTGAGACAGGTGAATGGAAAACTACTGGTGAATGATGGAGCAGTTAAACAGTTAAAATACAATTTTACAATTTTACATTTTCTTCTCGTTTTTAAAAAAGATTCACACCTTTGGTGGGAACAATTGGCAAAGAGCCACAGATACTGCCAACAAATAGTTTTTTGTATTGACTTTTGTTAAGGACACCCTTTAAATTGAGATAATCTCATGGTTTTATCCTACCAATACACTTTCTTTTACCTTTTAAATGTAGAACAGAACCGTTATATTTACAATTAAGTGCACCAAGCACTAAATACCTCTTCTTCCTCAGCCTTTTCTGCGTTGAGGGACCGTATCGGCTGGAGACACACCATGTTAGTGATAGGAGCTCTGCAGAGCACCATCATCATCTGTGGAGCCCTGCTTCGGCCAATCGTCATCAAACCCAAAGTGACCTGTGAGAGAGAAGCTGAAGGATCGTCCCCAAAGGAGCTGGAAGCCCTCGGTTCACCGGTGAATGTAGAGGATATAAACCCACAGGACTCAACTACCTCAAATGAACAGAATACCTCCCACAGTGCGGACAATGAGCTCAGCCAAACCTCTGTGAGCACAGGAGACTCTGGAGTCCAGTCCGTAAAGGAAACGTACGACAGCAGCCAAGATGAGAAGACTTTACTGCACAAAGAAGCCGAGAAATCTGCGGAAAACGGTAAAGCAAAGACTAGTCAATTTGAATCTGTGGAGAAACGGAGCGAAGATGCAGAGAAACAAATCATGCAAGTGGAGGAAATGAAATCAGGTGATGGAAAAACGTCCACAACGAAATCAAAGCTGATAGATTTCTCCATCCTCAGAGAGTGCAGCTTCATTCTCTACTCTATGTTCGGACTCTTTGCCACGCTGGGTTTCTTCGCGCCCCCTTTATATATCATCGATCTGAGCGTGAGTCGAGGCGTGGAGCGGAGTCACGCCACGTACATGCTCTCTATCATGGCCGTGACAGAGATATTCGGGCGGTTCTCCATCGGGTGCATCCTGTCACGAGAAAGGTTCAGGAAAAGGAAGCTGCTTGTCCTGCTGGTGTGTGTGATCACCATGACCGTGGATCTGGTGGGATTCACTCTGGTGACGGAGTTCAACGGCCTGGCGGTCTGCTGCGCTTTCTACGGGTTCTTTATGGGAACGGTAGCCTGCTCACACATCCCGATGCTGGCTGAGGACGATGTGGTGGGAATAGAGAGGATGTCTTCGGCTGCCGGGGTCTACGTGTTCATACAGAGCTTTGCTGGGCTCTCTGGACCCCCACTTGGAGGTAAGAGTTTATTCTGAGTACTGGCTATGGTTTCATTTTACTGCAGCTTTTTAACACACAAGGATGTGATGGTGTATATGTTTGATTGACTGTATGCTTTTGGACATACAGTCAATCAAAGATGAAAGATGGAGGGAAAAGCAATCGATGACAAAGCAACAGGAAATGCATAAATGCTGTTTTGAGGTCTAGTTTGGATATCCAGCAATATGATTAATATGATTTAATCCCACACTGACATTATAACCAGGGATATAAGATTTATCTACAGCAGCAACGAAAACAATTGAACAAATTATTTCTTTAAATGTCTTGTTTTACCTATCCAAAACCCACAGGTATTAAAGGTGGGGTATGTAATTGATTTCAGAAACACTTTTTGTTATATTCCATGGAATGCTCTTAACATCCCGATAGCAATGAATATATTAAATGCTTTGACAATAAATACATCAAAAAATGTCATCTGTGGAAGCCGTGGTGCTGTAAAAAGCACGACCAGTCATTTTAGCCGGCCCGACTAAAGTAACTGGATGGCCTACCTGCCTGTCAGCCTTCCATCTGTGCACAAACTTATCTCGTGCCCTCATTGGTCATGTGCGCGTTCGTGTGTGTTGGAGGAGGGGCTCTGTAAGGAAGTGGCAGATACCCCACCTTTTAAGTTAATATAATAAAAAAGAGAGAAAAGTAACTAATCTCTTTTTAAAATTAGGTCATTGTTAAATCATTATCAAAATAGTTGGCGAGTATTTATCTGTCGAACGACAAATGTTTAAAGCTCTAGATTAATCTTTTTTTTTTTTAAAGCTTAGGGTATACCTTTTTGCTTGACGGGCTAACATAAATGTTTAGTACTTAAATAAAGTTTAGAGATTTAGGAAAGAAAGACTAACAAAAATAAAAGTCAAATTGGTTCAGTAGATACCGAAATATTCATAGAAATATCATTTTATAATGCAAGCTTTACATTCAAAAAAGTATTGTATTCAATCCCAAACTGAGATAATGTTTTCAGTCCCAGAAGACTTTATATTAACGTTGTACTCCAAATAAGTTATTTGTTGGAGTGCCCTTCTTAATGCTTCTTTGATTTCTCCTCCATCCCCAGGTTTGCTGGTGGATTTGACTCAGAACTACGGCTCCGCCTTCTACTCCTGTGCGGCCGGGTTGGGAATCAGTGCCGTGTTCCTGGGTCTGGTTTCACCTGCTAAGAAAGGATATCTCTGTCGAAGGAAGGTCTCAAAACGCCCCGAAGACGTACATGAACGCAAAGAGGACTCAGAAGAAACAAGCGCAGTGAACAATTCAGACAAAAGACCCAACAGTGCTCAGGATTCCTCTGAAGCGACGGAGGCCACAAGAGATGTTCAGGAGGTTATACGTTTTGCTTAAGCTGATAAAGTTTATTAAAGCGATCAAGCCATATGAGGGTGAAATGCAAAAAAGACAGTAGCTAGCTGACTTGAAATTACTACAATGAATAGAAGACCAAAAGTGTTTATGATCTGCTAACTTTTACATCACAATACAAATCAATTGTACCTAGGGCTGGGCTATATGAAATAAACATAAATATCACAATATTATGGACCGACTACCTGGATATTGTAGGTTTGAGAATTGATGCTTCAACGAAATATACACAGTGAGAATTTTATATACAATGTGGATTTTTTGCGGGTGAAAACAAATAATAGAAGTCTGGTTAATTCAGTGTATTACAACACTTTACTGTAATGCAGCCTTTAAAACCAGTCACAGACAACACCAGTCACAACATGATATGAGCCCAGCCCTAGTTGCACCATATCCATGTACCAAACAGTGTTTTTTAATGATCTATTCTATGCTATTAAATTAGCTTTAAGTAACGGTTTTGTAGGGGCCCCATTATGCTCTTTTGGGTTTCCTCTTTCCTGTTGTGTGTTATATAGGTTTTTTAACTCACTATGAAACACTTGGGCTTCTTTTGGCTAGCGCTTCAACACATTGTATATGATAGGCTAAGGAGCGGGACATCTCTAAGCGTTTGACCAATCACAACAGAGCCGGCCAGCTAACCAATCAGAGCAGACTGGGCTCTGGTTTCAGACAGAGGGTGAAAAGAGGTGCTGCAGCACAGGCAATATGAGAAAAATAAAGAGCTTTTTGAACATTAAAGCATGGAGACATGTCACAGTAGGGCAGTGGTTCTCAAACTTTTTCTGTCAGGCCCCCCCATTGGAGAAAAAAAAAAGTCGGGCCCCCCCAACACAAATAGTCAGGCTCAGTGGCGGCGCCAGAGATTTATTTTGGGGTGCTGTGGGGTAGCTTGACGTTTCATAGAGGGGGCTCAAACATTTAGGGTTTCCCATTAATGTACCGGGCGCTACAGTGGAATGTTCTACTGCAACACTCCCCACGCAAATACACAGAGTGACTTTTACAATGAAGGCTCGATAATCAGCTCACGGCATATAGGTGTAAGTATGGGTAAAGTGCTATTTTTATAGGTGGTGTGTGGACCTCACATAGGGGGGTCCGGGGGTAAGCTCCCCCGGGAAGATTTTTAAATATTGAAGTTAAAAGCATCAATCTGGTACACTTTGAGAGCAAAATGAAGAGATCTATGGACATCTCTCAACACCCATTTGAAACAGAACTGGAAACAGATTTACTATTTCTTTATGGATATTTTACAAATCACTCCCCTTTTAAACTTTATTCTTTTTTTACTGTCATATAGTATTTCATACCTGTTTTTAATTTATTCTCTTATTTTTTTATAACTATAATGATCATATAAATGTGTGCCTCGGAAATAATTGTTTACATTTATGGTGACCAAAACGTTTGAGACCCACTGAGATAACACTGAGAGTCCTTTAGCTCACTGTGCCTCTCAGTCTGACAGGAGAGGACTCTCCTCCACTTTGTTGTTGAAAAAACTCCTTACAGTATATCCGTTAGCGTAGCTCGCTAGCACCAGAAGCTAACAACTACGATCTCCGGTACCGGTGCGCTCTCTCTCTCTCTATGAGTGCATGCACACAAAATGGCTCGTTCCACACACACACACACACACACACACACACACACACACAGAGAGCCGAGCTTTAATGAAACACAGAGAACCAGACGTAATACTACTGTATTATATTATTTTCAATCAATAATTTTTCAAAATATGATTATTATTTTTTTATCTTTTTTTTTTTTTTTAATAACCATTTCCCCCCCTGGTCTCTCGCGCCCCCCCTGTCATGCCTCTGCGCCCCCCTGGGGGGGGCGCGCCCCCCACTTTGAGAACCACTGCAGTAGGGACACTGAATACTAATATGAACCTGGATATTATGGCCTCTTAAATGAAGTCTTGCTTTACAAACGACGGATGTGAGATATGGCTGGAGAGTATGGATGTGTTTTACAATAGACCACAAGTGATGCAGTGTTAATGGACGTTCCTCCGTTTTTTATATTCTTGGAGTTAAACTGAAACTTGAACTATACTACAATCAATACTACAATAATGACCAGAAAAACTGTGACGCTGAGAATAGTAAATTGCACTAATACTGTAACTAGGGTTATAGAAATAACATGAAGCTCAGTAGATGTGATTTTTATTTTAAATCAGATTGTCATCAAGCAGACAATGTACTGTTTTGTGAATGTACGAGATGTATGATTCAAATCTATTTTTGTAATGAAAATGTGTTCAATTAATCACAATAAAGCAAAGAGTGATTTCAACAAATGAAATATGTTTAAGATTTTTTTTTTTATCTTAAAATGCACAAAGCAAACCTCTTAAAAGCTTAGCAGTCCAGATCATAAGTAACTCATTGCAACCTCTGTTGTGTCTGTCACATAATTCACTGGAAATTATGATTTTGATAAACGTATATATTTAAAAATAAGTATATAATGTCCTATAATGTCATATGGCATCTTTAACCTAGATTTATAAACATATTAACCTAAACTCAGCATTTCATTCAGCCTGGAAACTGAAGTGCCATTTAATTATTTTACAATCAATAAAACTCAACTACCTGATACATTCTCTAGTTGGCCCTGTGCTCATCCTCAAATAAGGTGCAACAGTCATAAACAAAATAAAGACTCTTTTGTAACAGCAGAAATATTAAGCACATGTGTATACAAGGATAAGTGGGGGGTGTTGCATATATTATATATACAAGTACTATAGTTCATCTTCTTACTCCCGCAGTATGTCCAGGCACCTGTGCAGCCACAGTCTGGAGGTCTGAAAGGCTTCTGTTGGTTTGGGAAAGTGGAGCAGAGACTGACAGGTGGAGGACTCCGGTGTTTGATCCACCTCCATCCAGTGCACTAAGGCCTGTTGAACACAGATAAACAATCACTAAAAGAGAGTACAAAAAGAACAAAAGGTGAATAAGGTTTATTGTGAAATATTATGCAGTGATCACAATAACACCAGAGAGAAACATCTGAAAAAGAGAATTTAAAATGCCAAAAGATTCAAATTATTTTTGATATGATTGGCTTCACTTCAGTGGACATTTGTCCTTGGGTACAGAAAAGGGTACATGCGGGACACACAACACACAATTAAAACATACAAATATACAATATAAGCTAGTACAAATCGGCATATAGCAGAAAATATGTTTGTTTTCTTTGTATCTTGTATCGGTCAGCTATTTTGAATCCGATGGCGACCTGTAGCTTGCGAAGGCAGACGGGACAGAAGTCCAGCGGGCGGCGGTCAGACTCCTCCAGGTGGTTGGAGCCCTGCACAGGGGCGGATCTAGAAACATATTCATGGGGTGGCAAGAGGGTGGCAGGAGATTTTGAGGGGTGGCATCCCCTGGCAGAAGTAGGCTATATGATGATTTAATCGCAGTCACATCAATCAATGTTAACTTGGAAAGCCACAATATTGATATTTTAACTCAATAACATTAGGTGACATTATTGTGGCACATCAGTAAAGCCTTAAATAGAAATATATAAGGTGGCAGACATAATTGAATGAATTTTAACTGAACAGTAACTGAATGAGTTTGTTTCACTCTTAGACCAGCAGGGGTACCAAATGTATGCAGACTGCTGCAATAAGTACATTAATAAACTGTCTCATCGATGTTTGTTTGAATGAATATGATAATGTTAACAATCATATGATTCCTATCAGCTGTCAATCACTGTTATGATTCACATATTCATTTATTATTGAATAAACTATGTAGTTTTACACACCGTCTTCCTTGACTTTCTCAGAACTTAAAACTGTTTTTTGGGGGCAGACCCCCACAAAGAAAAAAATATATATACACGTAAGGTCATCATCTTAACAGTTTTTTTATGCTCATCCGTGAGCAGAGCATCAAGTTGGCATGCCTATTACAGCTGAATGCGGCGATTACCATGGGGCGTTCAGCAAAACGCCTTTTTGCTGAACGCCACAAACGTATTAAGATCCAAAGCTTTAGTGCGTTTTGATTCAATGCTGAGTACAGCCAAACTTGACACTTGACAGTCTCTTCTCTGTCATTGTAGACCGCAAATACCTCATTCTTTCCGTGTACTTGGGTCCGAATACTTCTCGTTTTACGCCGTCCCGTTCAAATGAAATCGCCGCCAATCATATTTCCATGCTCGCGCCAGGGCCGGGGGAGGGGTTGCAAGACTCGCGTCTTGTGCTGCATTCACTTGCACTCGGACATTAGGGATAAATGTCCGATGAGCCACAACTTTTATTTCAAAACAAATCTATTTTTTAGGGTGGCAGTTGCCACCCCGGTAGATCCGCCCCTGGCCCTGCATCACACAGCTCAGCCACTGGCAATGCTTCAACCCAAACATGTGGCCAATCTCATGGGTCATTGTCTGCAAAAAAATACCCTACTGTACATTAGTGTTGAGGTCTCCATATTAGGTTGAATAGTTCAAACGAAAGTTAGTTATAATCAAATATAATCAATTATATTCTTGTATAACCCACAATGAAAATGCTTCATATTTTATGATTTTCTATATTTACAGCATAAACAAAAACCAAGTGGTTTGTTAAATTGAGATTGAGGCCTATTGATTTATGGGTGTCACTGATAAGGGAGGGGAGACAGTTTCTTCCCTCTTCCCTCACAGCAGTACAAAGGGAGGGGGGCTCCTGACTTTTTGGAGAAAGACTGAGGCCCCAAAAAGGTGTTTGTGCCATAGCCGAGAATAATGTTCCAGTCCTGCACACTAGAGGTTATGACCTTTTTACACAAACATGGGAAGGTGTGTCTATGCCATAGCCATAGAATATGTCTGGACAAGTCCAGTCCTGTACACCCAATACATTTGTTTCCACAAATATGGGTATGGAGGAGGTGTCTTTAGGTTTTTCTGTCCTGTTTTTGAGCATGACACTGGCAGAGAGGGAGCTAACGAGAGAGAGAGAGAGAGAGAGAGACTGAGAGAGGAGAGAAGAGAGAGAGAGAGAGAGAGAGAGAGGAGACGAGAGAGAGAGAGAGAAGGAGAGGGGAGAGAGAGAAAGGGGGGGGGGGGGGGTTGCTCTCTTTCCCGGTAAGCTCTCTCCAGGGCTCGAAATTAACTTTTTTCCTCAGTGTCCCACAACTGTCCCGAATTCTACTTTGTATTGTCCCGGATATAACCAGCAGTGTCCCAAATTTAAATTTGTATCGTCGCCCCCCCAATTATGCAGAATACATATCATTTGATACTTTTTTGTCACTTAATCATCACACCATAGACTCTGGTCCACCATGTAAGTTTAAAATACTTGTTCTTTTAAACATATGAATATTAGTCTGATCTGTTGCCTCTCCTAGAGTAGAAGGGAAGAGAGTTGTTTTAAGACATGTTTTTCTATTGTTTCTCAATATCCAGACTAATTTATCATTGTCATGTCAACATAGAAGAATTCTGATTTGTATTTTTCAATTCAATATGGTATGGCTGTATGGTCTCTGTGTTTTATGATCGGAACCCTCCATCTGGCAATAAAAGTGGTATGAATGATAATAAAAAAACAGAAGTTCCATAATACAGTTTAATAAATGTATCTGTTTTCAGTTCTAATTACAAGTTATCCTCACAAGTCAGTAGTACTATAGGAATATAAATTGATCTTCTATCTTCATTCATGAATGTCAATCATCTTGCTCTCACTCATTCACCCCCCACCCCCCCCCCCCCCCCCCCCCCCCCCCCCCCCCCCCCCCCCCCCCCCCCCCCCCCCCCCCCCCCCCCCCCCCCCCCCCCCCCCCCCAGGCACAAAAACAACTGGAACATTACTCTCTCTTAACATGACACATTATTCTCATACCAGAGTTGATTCTTGACAAACTAAAATTACCTTGCGACCCCCTTTCTAATCGTCACCCAATCTGACTGACGTTCTTGCCCCAAAAAAACTGAAACACTAAAAAAAGATGAAAAGCTAAATGATTAGCTAAATGCCTTTTTGCAGCTAAATATTTTAGCCTGGTCACTGACTGGCTGACAAAGAAAATACAAAAATGATCGGCTACACCTCTTATTCTGATCAACTGTATTTCACATCATTTTCACAAACTTCAAAAGAACATGACACCGCATTTTAGGACGTCTGTATGCATTGTAAGGCACACTTCAGTTGCTAGCGTTAGCTAGCGCTAGCTAACATTGACACTTAAGACAACTAACTTACCACAGTGGAAGACGATGCATCATGACCAGGACTTGGGATGTTTTCGTTTCGGGAGTCGGCAGAATTGGGGCTTGTTTATTCAACCACCTCAGCATTTCTTTCTACTTTTTTAAACTGTCGTGACATTGCATTGGCGCGAGTCTAGCAGCAGTCAGCAGCAGAGTGGATGACGTAGAATGCATTCTATGATTTGACAGCCCAATGACTTTGCAAATAACACCCATTTTGAAGTTTACTTTTAATTTTTTTTTCACTGTCCCGAAATAGTCCCAGACAAAATAGATTTGTGTCCCAGTAGGAATTGTTATGGTCCCCGGGACATCGTTAATTGCGAGCCCTAGCTCTCTCCCTGGAGAGCTGGGTTTTTGCCTCGGTAAGGTTCTCTCAGACTTGGTAAATATCGCTTTGTTGAATGCGGAGTGAATTTCTTTGTTGAATGCGGAATGAATTGATGTGTGTTGAAAGTTTAGTACCCTGCCACCGGTCATTTATGAGGAGATGCCTCTAAATTCTGTCGGACTATTTTAAATGTCACAACTGAATTGGGCAGTTGAAGTTACAATTTGGTGTAATAAATGTAAAACTGTGAATTGAGGTTTCATATTAGAACATGACCACACCATGATATGTTTTGTAGGATTGTCATGTTGTAATGAGAGAAGGTAGAAACCCTGTATAAGTGTGGACCAATTTTTAAATAAACTGATCCCCCCTTTTAGATTGGGACAATTTAAAAGACATCTGCGCTCTCCTCTCCTGCTTCAAAGGTAAGATTGCACACTGCCACACTCACACTTAGGTAGAGCCACACCTCATTACTGATATCAAAATCCTTCGGGATCGCTTAAACAGATTTAGCGGGTCGTCTGAATTGAAACAGCAGTTCATTGAACCTGGTTCTTCAGGAGTTAATAGAGGTGAGATCTTGCTGACGTTGGTGGATATGAGCCAAGCAGTAAATTTACATAGACTCAATAAATTATGTTGGGTCAATTAGTAGGTCTGAGTAATTTGCCGGAATAAATTATCAGCCCTCCCGACTCTCAAGATTAGAGAAAAACAACCAATTTTGGCAATAACACTCAAAGGTTCAAAGTACCAACATTGAGTGAGTGGTGGAATGTGTGTTTGTTTAGAAACCTTGCAGGATCGAAGCAGCAGAGAGCTGGTGATGGGGGGGGGGGGGGGGGGGGGGGTGTAATAACCGTCAAACACAGAGTAGTTCTCCTGCTTTGGGTGAAACCTGTTCTTCACAACCCGGCTCTTGGGCTGCAACAAAAAGCTGGGAGGCGAGACGAGGGGTCTGAAAGTATAACGATCCTTTATTAGTGGACACCAAAAAGACAGCCACGACGCGAGGCTCACACGGGCAGTGTGCGAGAGGAATGAGAGGGGCCTCCCGAAACGCGATGGGCTGTCTTATAACAGCTGCCCAGGTGCAGTTCGTCAGTCCACAATCACCCCACATACAGCACTGGAATCTGCAAACAATGAGAGAGAGAGAGATCACGGAACGCCGAGTGGCGTGGAAGGGTCGTCACACTCCCTGCATAACTGCTGCTGTAGAAGCTGTCATCATACCTGGAGAAGCTGAAAACTCCCATTCCTGCAACCAAAAGTGAAGGCAACAGGATTTAATGTTTTTGCTTTATCACCATCTAGTGGTAGCTCAACAACATTACATCATACAGGACTACAGATGAAATTGTGTAATGTGTGTATATTCTTTTATACAAAATGTTCCTCAACTATGAAGCAATGTTTCTTTGGGGACAACAGGAAGTTGTGATGAATAGGAGCATTATTATTAGGTGTGGTTGGCTAATACAGAAAGTAATATTTTCTCAGTAAAGTCTTTGTGGGAAAGGCTCACCGTTACTGAGAGAAGCTTGTCCGAAAACAAAATTCCAGGAGTCTTTGGGGTAGAGGTCAATCATTGTGATCCCAACAATGCAGAAAGCATCTGCTGGTTTTCTACTCCGCAGGAACTGTAGCAGGTCACCTACAATGCAAGATAAAATGATACTAAACAGTTATTTGTTCTACTATTATTTCATATCCTCATTAATTTGACCATGCCTACTGTCATTTCTCTCTCTCAGTAGGATTTGTATGACTCAATGTCATTATAACATGTACTTCAGCTGCTGTTTTTTTGTTGTAATGTTTAATATGTCATATATGTTGTATCTTCAGTATGTGTACTACTCTGGGTGGCGCTACAAATACATGGACTAATAATGTGATTTAGGATTTTTTATTATATTTGAAAACAAAGCAAATCATTCACACTTCAGATGGAGATTCCTGCATTTTGCCAGAACCCCACAGTAGATATGGCACAATGAAAGGTATCCTGAGGTAAAAGTGATGGACTCCCAGCTCACCGGTGAGGATCTGAAGGTTGTGGGAGTCGCTGTTCACCCTGAAGGAGCATTTTGTTTCAGCCACAGTAACCGCCGGCAGTAACTTGACAGAAAGCCCATAGAAGAAGGCCTGGCAGTATTCTCTGAGCCACTCCACACACTGATCCGTCTGAGCCCCCGCCTCGCCAAAGGAACCTGAAAAACATAGTGTAGAATGAATGCAAGCAAACAATGTAATGCTGCACTTGGAGTCCAAAAACTGCTGCACAACAAACTCTACATGCCTCATCCATCTTTAAAGCACACAATGTAGTTTCTTGCATGTTTTTCGGTCATTAGGTGACATGAACTATGGTGATACGTTGATTTTAAGTGCTCATGGGTAAAGACTTTATTACAGAGGCTCTAACCCATGTGTCAAAATCAGGCCCTTGGTGGATTTAATTTTGGCCCGCAGAATAATTTCTAATTACTATTAGATCTGGCCCGCCGGTATACTGCACGCACACCTTCACTCAACCCTGAGGATCTCCTCAGCTCAGAGCCTGACCCCAAACATTGATGAACTTTCACCCAAGATGAGATGCCAAGTATCTGGCTTAGTGTGCATCACAGAGCAGCAAACTGAGTTTCAATGGATGTTTCCTTCTGCACTTTCTTTCTTGCGACAACAGGGCATGTTTGGTTTTTTCTTTGAGGGGAATTGTTTTGTTGAAGCTGTTGTTGGCCTGTGGGAACATGTACTCATAAGAAATGACTGCAGATAGAGCCATAAGAAATTAATGCAACTGCTATTTAATGTTTAATGTTATTTTTATAGGCAATAATTTAAGCTTTGTTAGTTCCAGGTTAATTATGTGCAATAAGTTCATTTCAATAAGCTTTGCAATAAAATAAATTGAACCAGTCTGGCCCTCGACTAGTACCTATTTTTTTTATTTTGGGCCACTGTGTATTTGAGTTTGACGCCCCTGCTCCAACCTAGACACAAGCAAACTCACCTATGGTTTGAATGTAAATAGTATTGTGGCTTGCATTTGGGGTCTTGCGGGAAGGGTCTCTGAAGAAACTCTCAAAGTCTTGATGCTCCTCAGGGTGAGCTGAGATCCAGTCTGAGTCAGAGTGGACTGTGATGGGTTGGAACATGGAATCCTTCCTCCAGAACATGCCTCTCTGAGTTTGTGTATTTGCTGTAAAGTCTAGCTAAATCTTTATGATTGGAGACCAACGCTGTCTGCAGTGCCTGGACAGAGTGCTGGATTAACTTAATCTACATCGGAGATATACAGCATTAACATGTAAACAGATATGCAGCATTAACAGGGTCACAAATAAAGTCACAGTCATATTTAGAAATTGGCTTTGCTCTCAGTTTTTTGTTTTACTTTTGAAGGATACCTGAATGCTTATGACAGAAATGGTGTGACACAGAATGTAAGGAAAGTGGGCAAAAGTGTTTGAAATTGATTCAATATAATGACAATTTGATATTACAATGTGATATGTGTAAATTGTGGAGCATGAAGTTTTGAAAATGTTAATTCTGGAGCTGAAAAAAGCAGCATACCGAAACGACTGAGACAGAACAAGTATTATACACGTACGTTCAACAACACAAAAAGCCTGTTCTCGACACTATCAAAAACCTTCTTTAAGCCACCTTAATTTATTTATTCGTGGAGAAAAAAATGCTAATATTATCTTAAATGTGACATGTTGACACTGGAAGCGGTTTCCGCATTGTACGTCATCCGGTGACGTAATGTAAACACAGGGGCGGAGCTTCCGGAATCACTCCCCAGACAGACAGCAGAAACACACCTAACAACCGGAGTACCGCTTATCATACTCCGGACAACTGTAGAAGTGACTGTATTTAAGAACCTTTAACTCATTTGGTTTTCTTAGTGACGGACTTGCTGTCAAGTACAGACAACGGTTATTAACCCCGACTAACGGCAAAGTGGACGGAATACGAAAGCGGAAGAACTTTCAGTTAGCTCAAGTAGTTAGCCGGTGTTAGCTAGCATGCTAACAAACTAGCTCTGCTGTCATGCCTGGAGTTTCTCGAGATTTCACGTCGTAAACGAGAATTCATGGTGGTTAGCTGGTTAGCTTTAGCAGTTTGTTCCACCACCGAGGCGTAGGCACTGGGGACTTGGGGAAGAAGTGACAGGTCTGAGCTAACACACATCATTCCTACGGAGACCTCTTCTTCTGGAGACTTTTTTATGAGATGACAGGGAGCTTGCTATACTGAGTCTCTACGAAATGGTCGTGCTGTAACATAGCTTTAAAATAAGATCCCGGCTCAAAAGGAGGACTCTCAACCTTTTCATTTAGCCAAAAAGAAACCTTCGTCAAGACTGCTGAAATGCTGACTGACAGCAGGTAACTGGGATACCATTTTTACACATCTGACATGTACTATTACATTTATAATTGTTTGACTTTATTGCATTGTATCTAAGCAACCCAGTGCAGTTATCAAAAGCTATATGATTTAGTCTAGAAATGCAGTGTTAATGTAATATTCACACTGTTAATTCCCAATATAGACCCCACTAAAGGCATGCTAATCAATGTGTTCTCATAATGGGAGCGCCACATGCCTGATCATGTAACTGGGATGCTATTTTTGGATTCCTCTTTATGTTCGCTCTTTTTTTTTCTTTCATACTCTTCCTTTCTCCACCCCTGCCTGTCACACTTCACTTTTATGTTCACTCTGTACTCACAACACTCTGTTACTTACATTTGTGTTTTGCACAGGAAACGACACCGTAGCTGTGACAGTGAGGAACCCCAACAGCTGAGCCCTCAGGCCAAGAGGTCAGGAGGGGGTCCCAGTCTGCTCGTTTCAGATTTAGATTCAGAGGTAAGACTGAAATGATCTTGACATTCATCTTAACGCCATGTAGGTTTACCCTTTTTATCTAAGTGTGTGATGAGTCTTCCAAGGTCATGTATTCCTTCATCGCATGTGTATGTGTCTCTGCATCGCACATGCAATGCACCAGTTTCAGGAAAAGCACAGCATGTTTTATTTACAGCCTTTCATCCTCACTGATCCGTGAAGCGTCAATTCACAGCTCATCTCTTTGGTGTTCTTGCAGTCTTCCAGTAGTGACAGCAGCAATGGGATCAGCAGTCCAGAGACAGGCATAGTGGCCACCGCCAGGCCGTCAATTCACAACAGCCGCATCCCCCAGTGCTCCCGAAGCCCGAAGCCAGAAGACTCCCGTAGCTCCTTGCAGCAAGGTTTCCATGGCGATGGCAGCAGTGTCTCCTACGACTGCATCAACAGAGTCCTGCGGGAGGCGCACTTCAGCAGCCTGCAGACCAGAGAGCGTCCAGGCTCAACATGACCGTGACCCCATCTCCTGACCTTTAGTCCCTCGCCCATCAGTGCTGAATCTCCTGGTACGGGGGGGGGGAATCCTCCTCGGAAAAAAACCTCACCCGTGTTAGGGGGGAGGGGATGATGTGTGGGGAGGTTTACAGAATGTGTGGGCACAAAGGCTCATCCCCACCTCACCATGTACCATTTGTTAAGACCATAAGCACATCCGCCTGTCCATGGCCCAGCCACTGTGGTTTCTGTGCAGTATTGTTGTGTTTGTTGGTGTGTGTGTGAGTGTGTGCACGCACCCTGTGCACTTTATAAAGAGGTATCATTCTCTTTACATGCGTGCGTCGATGCGTGGACATTTTCATTGGTGCTAATCACAAGAGACGCGTGATGATCCAAAGTGCTTGCAAAACTAAATGAAGCTAAGCACTTTAATCAATAACTCCTCATTCTGTTTACTCTCGGCTGGGGAAGGCGGCTGAATGCGTGTGTGTGTGTGTGGGGGGGGGGGGTCATTGTTGTGATTCAAGAAGGAGGTTTATAGAGGCCAAGGGCTCACACCCAAGGAGCATTATTTAAAAAAATCCAGTAAAATAACTTGTTACGGCTTCTTGTGTCAAATTTAAAGAAATAATCCACCCACAAAAACACTTAGTACATCCAAGTGTGCGTTTAACAATAGCAGAACTGTGTCGAATAATTTGTTTACAAGCTCTCCCGTCTCATTGAATGAATCTGGATAAAGGACTTTCGGACACGTTTGGCAAGAATTTGTCAACGATTTTTGAAAACGTTTGACGCTTCTTTCACCTCGTCACACTCCGAGGTAACATGGTGAGAGTAATTGATGGATGTCCTTTTAAATGATAGCGTATTTAAACATACTTTCTCAGTCCAAATGAATCTAAGTGTGTTTGGTAGGTCAGTGGGTCCGAGCTAAGGGAACAGATGAGTCGCACCACCAAAACCCAACCTCAGATTAGACGCCGGCTAATTATAGAGCCGTGAGAGGACTGCGTTTCAGGCGGTGTAAGGAACCGAGCGTCTCACAGCCTGGAGAGAAAGCGCTGTTTGTAACCACGTGTTTAACATTTGACACATCGTCTGTGTGTGTATGCGCCTGTCAGCCATACCTGTTGTATGTATGGGTTGAAAATGACCAGTACACTGTGTTGCAAATAAAATGAGAGATGTGGAAGTGACTCATATTTTATGTAATTTTCCTAAACATTGAAAAATAAAGGCGTTGCTGAAAGCCGGGTCTGCAGTATTACATTGTTTCAGTTGGTGCTGTAAGACACACAGCAGGTTTTATTGTTACTCGGCATAGTTCATGTTCACTGAAATGAAATACATCAGTATCGTTCTTTGTACATATCGGTAGGCTGGATTACCATTTTAGCGTGTAGTGTAAACCACATTCCTCGACACTGCAGTACAGTGTGTGACTGGAACAACGATTAAACGTAATCTGCCTTTTATTTGGTTACACAAACAACTTTATAAATGGCTGATAATCTGCTTTATGTACACTAAACCCAAATGTTGACGACCATTTGAAACATTAAGCAGTGTACGCTTACATTAGTAAAAGGTTCTTCTAACGGGAATATGTGGACTTCTTGTGACATTTCTTACTTTTGCTCATTTAACAAATCTGTTATTTACTTGGACTATTTCGCAGATTAAAGGAGCACTAATTAAAAGTATACATTTCTCTACTTATTTCCATGCGTCTCACTAACAGCAGGAAAGCACCACAAATGCCTGCAGTAAGGTGACACTCTTCATGTTCAGCGTTTGATGTATAATATTAAAGGTCTGAACACGTTTAAGTACATCAACGTTAAAGAACTAAGGCAATCAGATGCCTTACATTTTGTTGAGTTATGGTAACTTGTCAGGTTTCAGAGCACCCAAAATACCTAAATAATACATTCCTCCATTAGTTCTTCAAACGTATCTTCACATGCACTCTCAGATGGGTTATGGATTCATCAATACAGGGTAGACGCAATAAATAGGTTGTATGTAAACTAACACTCATGACGTTTACACTGACATACTGTACGAGGTAAGTACCAACAAATATGGAAGACCACTCTCAGATTTATGAGTCCATAAGAAAAGCAATTGTGCAAATAACAAATCGAGGGCGTTCTCCCTCGGAGGTTTAGCGCTCGCTGCCGAGGCGTTAGTTTCTTTTTGTCAGCTAAACGGAATCCTGAGACAAAGCAACTGTTTATAATAACAACCTGTAATTCAAGCATTATTGTTAAATACTTATTAGGAAAATTAGGCCTCAACCTACAAACGGCATCCAGCAAAGCCCTCATGTCTGAAGAGTTAAGGGGTTTCTCAGCTGTGGACTCTAAAGGACAATATCTCTGTCTCTGCTGCTTGAATACATTTCCCAACGAGGCACCACACTGATAGACAGAAAATCCCAACATAATGTAAATCTGCTGTCTATATAATCTTGATTTTGAATTCAATAGATTTCCTAACTTAATGACATCATTGGCTTAACTGCGACAGCTGTGTAGAGTTGGTCAAAAGTTGAGAAAGGAAAAGGCCGACACTGGTTGGCTGCCGTCACATGCGACTGAAGTGCAAATGAAAGCAGTGTCATCACTGGTTTTGCTGCCGTTCTGCAGAGCTTGATTCTCCTTTAAGCTGTCGTCCATCTCATTCTGGGATGTCTGTCTTTTACACAGCGGCGTTGCCTTGGTGACCAGCTGCATCCCGCTGAACAGAGACAGTCGGCTCAGACAGGGCTGCTCACTCTGAGGCTCCGCTGGCGAGAAGCTATCTGTGTGAAGCTCTGGTTCTTCAGCGACAGATTGAACCTCAGCAGTCCTGTTCGGCTCCACCTGGTTCTGCATTGACTCGGTCAGAACGGGAGGAAGTTTCTCCTCTTCGTCGTCATTCATCAGCTCCACTGAGGAGTCTATCTGGACCTCCAGGCCAGAGGGAGAAGATGGGTGATTTGGTG